CATTGCTGCTGGCTGCAAAAAAACAACTTGACAACGGCCATAACACCAAACTCGAGGCTTCAGACTGCTACTCCACAAACCAGTGGGTGGCGGCATGATAGGTTCACACTCTCCGTAAGAATAGCCCATCAACACTGAAGGCTACTGTGTCACAGACGGGCAAAGAGGACTGTGTTTGTTTAAATTGCCAGAGTCTAGCAGGTGGTGAGTCTGCAAGGTTGGGAATATGACGAGACCGTTGGTGTTGTTGTGGGTTGCTGCCCTACAGTAAACAGTCGATCTGGTTCTAGGTGGAGGAGTTCGGCAATAGAGTGACTGGAGTCTGACACAGTTTGATATATACTGACAATATTTCCTCCTCTAGCATTGGCAACCCCACCCCCACGCTGCCTTCAGGTCCTCATTCACTGCATAAAAAATATTTTTTTCACATATTCACCATTAACTAGTTGCTTTTTAGCGTACATATCCGTAGCATATTGGCTCTTTATTAGTCATTATAAAGCCCTTATTAATGACTTATTCTGCTTGACCCTATTCTACAACTACTAGGACATTAACTAAGAACTTCCCCTATACCACCTCCTAATTATTGATAGTAGGTAATTAAGTTGTAAATTAATTATGGTCTTAACATTATTTGCTCATGCGTCGTCCCCCTGCCGGGACCATGCCACCAGCCTGCTCCTGCTTCCTGTCCCTTCTTCCTTCCTGCTGCTGTGAGGCTGAGTCCTTGCTGCAGCAGCCATGGGTCTGCATGGTGTCATCCACTCTCTCTCTCCCCATTTCCTGTTTATCTTCAGCTGTCCTATCTCATAAAGGCAAAAAGCCCCCCAAAATATATGTATATATTTTTTAAAAATTGCATAACAGGTAATAGGAGGTTGCTCCTATTGTACATGTTGGCTCACTCAAAAGGCTCTGCTAAACAGAACAGAGTCTTAATTAGTATCATTGGTAATGTCTGTATTTATCCTACTATTTCATGTCAAAATAGGTTTATTCCCAAGTAGGTTTTCACATCCAAGGTATTTGCCATGGTAAATTGTAAGGGTGCTGATGAGGGTTTTTGAGGCCGATCACAGATTACTAGAAGTGGTATCAGCCGTTACCGATCACTAGGTCTATTTAAAGCCTTATGTTCAAAGTGAATGCACACACGCACACACCTACACATTTGTCCTCTGTCTCTCTCCATATACAAGCTGTATGTGTTTGCTTCATTACTTTGTTGGTCAGCAGTTTTATAAAGTCACCAAAGAAACACAATTAATGACGTCGCCTATCGAAAACTAAACTGTTGCTTTACCTGTTAGGTGCTTGTTAAGCATCCACCACATAATGTCTCTCTCTCTGTTTCTCTGACCCTTAATATACTGATGGCCAGCCCAAGTAAATCTGTGTGTCAAAGACTGAATAACCTTCCTGTGGAATAAAATCGTCCAATCAATCGGGGAACCTTTAGTAAATTGGTGTATTACAATAAACATAGAGAAAGATAAAAAAATATAGACAATTAAAAGAGACAGTGTATGCGTATATAAAAAAGAGACAATATGCAAAATTCTAACTGTTATTTAAATAAATGAATAAAGAGCTGTATAGTTTGCAGGAATGTTCAAAATATTGTTACGGGAATGTGTAAGTTAGCAGTGTGACATATAATGATACTGCAGCAAGCTTTGTTGCATCAGAATAGAACACATTTATGATTATTATTATTATTATTATTAAGTGTTATTAAAGGAGAATTAATATTCTTATTGTTCAACCACCCTATAAGGCCCATACTGAGCAAAGCATGTTAAGATCATAATTCACATACGTAACTTCCTTACTTGCTATCAATAAGCAGTAATTAGGAGGTTGTTAAGGGAAAACTCTTGTTAATGGTGAATATTTGTACTGCTTGGTGTTACTCATGTTTCTTGTGCAGTTTTGTGAGTTACAGCAGGACATTGTAGTTTGTGGTGCTGTTGGATTGTTTTAATATTTAATCTATTCACATCAAAAGGGGTAGAATGAACGTTCTGAAAATACTAGAGCTACACTACACTAGAGCACCAAATGTGTGTTAATCTGTTGCTGAATATAGTCCAAATACAAAAAATGTCCTATTTCCACCTCTTTGACTATTGTTTACTAAAACAATTAGCTAGTGGCCAGCTGTTTTGTTGTATTTTATTTTGAATGAAACTATACTTAGTTTGTAATATAAAAACAATACATTTGTGAGCTGTGAGATAACCAATGTGCCACAGACAGCTGAGGAAAGTCAGAAAGTAACTGGCCTTGATCTTTTTATTCATGTGTTTAACATTAAGAATGAGCCCAAACCTTTAAATGTATTCATTGTGGAGATACATTAACTAGCATACATTATCTGACCCATCAGGCTGCACTTTTTCAAACTATACAGACCCCTCCAGCATCCTCCCTGTCCTACATTTTAGTTGCTTAGTAACATTCCACACTCTCTCCACCCTCAGGCCGCCCTCCTGGCACCACTGGAAGAAGACTCTGGCCGCGACAGGAAGCAGACTGCAGGAAGCAACAAAGTGCCTGATTTTCCTCCTCCGGCAGGCCGGGAGATTCTGGTGCGGACGTGTGTCCCTCGGCCTGCGCCGTACTCCAAAGCTCTGCCGCAGCGGCTCTTCTGCGTGCTGATGAGGGAGGAGTTTAGGCTGGCAGGGGCCTTCTCTTCAGACACTTCCTTCTTCTGAGACCAAATGCCTATTACACAGCATTTCATCTGAAACCATGTCCCATTTGCCACTGATGATTTACACACTGAGGCCAGAGCTGGAAGAGCAATGAAGGACACAGGGTGGCACGTTAAAATGATTCAGTCTATTTGTTGGTCCTCTGTTGGTTAAAGAGTAACTAAACCCCTAAACCACTTTTTCTGCTGAAAACTAACGTATATGGGTATTTAGTAGCATTGATGATCAATTCAAGTCCAAATCCAGTATTTGAATTCTACATTTGGTGCTATAAATATGTGTAGTGACCGCCCTCTACTGGTTGAAACACGGCTATTGTAATTGAATTTCACTATTGGCTGATCTTGAGGCAGGTGTCATATGTGGAGGCAGCTTTCGTCACAAACCCGCCTGCTCCTATAAAACCTCTCCCGACTCTGCAGACTGTGGCCTGCTATGCAGCTGTAGCCTGACACTCCCCCTACAAGAGAGAGTTAGCCTCTTTGAGCTCTTTGGCATCGTTTGCCAAGCTAGCGGTTGGCTAACGATTACAGCACAGAAACTTATACAAACTATTGTGAATGTGCTTCTAGTGACTGTCAGTGCTGTTTCCAGCACAGACATGGACAGTGTGGCAGTAGCTGCTCATGGCTGGTTAGCTTGGTTAGCTCTGAGCTGCGAGTTTATGCTGCATTCACATGGATCAGCTAGAGTACGTGTGTCATTCTGGTCGCTGTTACCTCCTGTGTTACACACCCCATAGCCACAAGGCCATGCCACATATTTTGTTCTCTTTTTTTAAAAGTGCTAGGAGGGAGGGAGCTAGCAAAGGGGTTTAGTTACACTTTAATGAGTCTGTTTGTGGGCACAAATGCTCGTTCAAAAGTAGTGAATGTTTTCTATTCAGACATATGACATATCTGTGTTAGCTACATATCTCTGGCCTACAGACTAATGAGTCCCGAATACCATTTTTTGGACTTCAAAGATCTATGTTAATCTGCTCACCTTGCTTTTCCCTTAAGTTCTCCACCCCCCCATACACAGACAACGCCTTTCTCTCTCTCTCTCTGCGCACACACTGCCTTTTTCTGTCTCTCTCTCACTGTCTTTCTCAGCAGTTTCAGCATTATGTTTTATAAAGTCACCCAAAAAACAACGCATGTTTCAGATTTTCCACCCAGCAGGTGACCTACGTGTGGGGGAAGCTCGTTGTTAATGACGGAGAGATCGAAATGTTAGAAACCAACATGGGACAGAACGCTCTACCAGGGCTGTGCTTGTAAAATAGGCTATCCCCCATGTCTGCGTCTTCTAATGAACAACCAGATAACATCTCTTTCTCTCTGTTTCTCTTCAAAATGCTAAACTGGGTTGCCAGCTATTAAAGCTGCAGCAGGTAACTTTTGTCTTATTTGAAACTTTCATCATCCTGACAGTAGTGCACAAGACAGATAATCTGTGAAAAAATCTGGTTCCTCTGGCTCCTCCTAGTGCTTTGGGTTTCAACCCTTCAAGCCACCAACCCAAAGTGTCGGTATTTGACGACCTGGGATTGACTACGTTCTTGACCTTGAGTGGTTGTTTTCATTCAGGCCCGGTGGATTCTTGGAAACGGCACTAGGAGGAACCTGATTGTTTCACAGATTATCTATGTTCTACTGCCAGGATATAGTGAAAGATTCAGTAAATATGACAAAGTTACTGCAGCTTTAATATACATGGGAGGTGGTGCCCAAGTAACATCTATGTGGGAAACACTGCGGGATCAGGCTTTGAAAAAAAACAACAAAGTAAACCAATACTGATGTGGGCATCGATTACCATGGCAACAGCTGAAGCACCGAAGCATTTGAGTCAGCCCCACTAATGAGCATTGCTATCTGTAAAAACAAGACCTATTTTATTTCACCTAATTTGGTTCTTACTGCATTGTGGTTATTTCAAAAAAAGAAGAGAAAAGGGTAAATATTCTCATCCACTCAGGTTGTGCACACAGATTTCATGTACTAGTACAGAATTTACAATTTCACTGTACACAATAGCAAATATCAACTGCAATTGTATTAGCATTTTATATTCATTCAGTTGTCTGATAAAATGTGTTAATGAAATAGAACTAATTTCCTCAGTCAGTCTGGTGATTAGAACATTGGTGTGCTATAAAAATATCTCACAAAAACCCTTCATTTTACATTCAGAGCTTCATTTCTCTAATTATAATATATTCTGTATAATCATTTTCTTGTTCTGGTGTCCTTTATGTAAGTTTAACTGTAACCTGTTTATTACTGACCACATGCCAAGTGATAGCATAACATGAAACACTATCCCTGTGTGGTGGTGAACAGTAAGGGTTAACTGATCCTGCTCGGTGTGCTGAGGGCATTTCTTCGCTAGTTTATAGGCTTAAGCAGTTGCTACTTTATGAAACCAGAATCTTTTGCACACGAACGCTTGTTGATAACATAAGTGCAATCACACATCAGTAGATCCTAGTACTAATGCTGGAAAAATATAGCTTTACTTATTGCAGCAGAAGCCAATGTGCTCACTCATTAGTGTGCATTAATTATAAGGAAAAATGGTTGTATTATCACAATGGCAAATGCTTTGTAGGTGTTACATTGATGTAACAAGTGATGTGTGTATACAGTACCTGTAAAATGTTGGACCAAAATGTCCTCTAATCTAAAAATAAACTGTTCTCCTGTCTCTATCTGTGCTTCTGGATTCCATACATAAGTGAGAGCAGGCGGGAGGTCAGACCACCTGTACAAGAGGGTTCCCATTACTTCTAGAAGAATGTCCAATGTCCACAAGACAGAATGACAATGTAGTTTTTTATCAGCTATTCCTATCTCATTCACCATATTCTCTATTGTTCAACCAAAACTCTTTGTCTGTCCTCTTTCCCTCTTTTGACCTGGTTTTAAAGGGCCACATTTTAGGGGGGTTAAATCTGATATAATATTATTAGGTATGTTGTCATTAGTGTATAATCATCTGAAATAAGGAAATGTTGTCTTTCAGTTGCCTCAAAATTAGCTTAGTTTTTATCTATAGATGGAGTGGGTCCTCTTCTGGCATAGTCTGCCATGTTGAACCACCA